AAATTTTTGCATTTTTATATGTTTAAATATATTTCATAGTAACATTCTTTTAAAATATAAAATACAACAGTGGGGATGATGTCAAATTGGATTAAGCCCTCAACCTTTCCCCAAATCATATTGAGGAATGTAAATCCAATTTTCACTGATTTCCTGCTCTGACATTTTTGTCATTCTTCATCTCTTGACAGGACATCATTACTGCATGGGAGGCAATGAATCCTGGGTCACCGAGTTCCTCTTGGTGGGATTCCGGCTCAGCACAGAGATGGAGGCTCTCCTCTTCTGGATCTTCACCCTGTTGTACATCGTCAGCCTCCTGGTAAATGGCATAATTCTGGGACTCATCTGCCTAGATCCCAGACTGCACACTTCTTCCTCTCACACCTGGCTGTCCTTGACATGTCCTATGCATCCACCAATGTCCCCAAGATGCTGGTGAACCTCGTGAGCCACACGAGAACCATTTCCTTTGGTTCCTGCATAATGCAGACATTCCTGTACTTGGGCTTTGCTGCCACAGAGTGCCTGGTTTTGGCGGCAATGTCTTATGACCGGTACGTGGCCATCTGCCTCCCACTCCATTACACTGTCATCATGAGCTGGAGAGTGTGCATGGCTCTTGCGGTCACTTCCTGGTCTTTTGGATTTATTCTCTCTATGGTACACGCAATTCTCCTGCTGAGGCTGCCCTTCTGTGGGCCCTGGGCTGTGAACCACCTTTTCTGTGAGATCCTGTCTGTCCTCAATTTGGCCTGTGGTGACACTTGGCTCAACCGAGTGGTCCTCCTGGCTGCTTGTGTTTTTGTCTTAGTTGCACCCCTCTCTTTAATGCTTGTGTCCTATGTGAACATCCTCTGGGCCATCCTGAGGATCCAGTCAAGGGAGGGCCGTGCAAAGGCCTTCTCCACCTGCTCCTCCCACCTCTGTGTGGTCGGGCTTTTCTTTGGCATAGCCATACTGGTTTATATGGTTCCAGACTCTAATCAACGAGAAGAGCAGGAAAAGATGCTGTCGCTATTTCACAGTCTCTTTAACCCAGTGCTGAATCCCATCATTTACAGCCTGCGGAACACTCAGATGCAGGCTGCCTTCCACAGGGCTTTGCAGAAGAGAACCACAGGAGGGACGGCAAGCCAGACTGTTGGCTTGGTGTAGCCTTCCTCTTAAAACACGAATTGTGGAAGCAAAAACTCAGAAAAATGCCCTCATAGAAGTTTGCTATATGAATAGTAATAGCTCAAATAGAATTTGAACTTCTTTCTTTGATTTTATTTGTTTTTTATGTTCAATTTCACTTGTATCCATTCTAATCTACATTACTTCATTTCTTCTTTCTTTTGGTTTAGTCTGATTTAGAAGGTCTGAAAATAGAGCAAAATGACAATGGAAACAGTTACTATAACTTACCCAACTTTATCATTTACATTTATAAATTTTGTAGTTATTAATTACACTGCATTTAGACTACAGTAAAATATAACTCGTACTTTAGTATTATAAATTACAGTTGCCTGTTGAAAAGTGTCAGTGGTGGCAACCCTCTTGGGACATTTTCTGTCTCTCTGTCAGACAGAAGCTTTATTTCTCTCAATAAATATATTCTGTTCTTAACTTCCATTGTGCTTACCATTCATTCTTTCATTTTAGAACACCTGAACTCATACCAGACATCTAGTAGGTTGGGAGTTTCTCTCTCTTATATCATTTGGACATCTTCACAGAGCTCATTGAATGGAGACATGGGTAAGTCAATGCCAAAATCTTACTCCTCTGGAAAGCATACTTCAGTGCTGGAAGATGTTTGACCTCCAACATGTTGAAAAAGAGCCATTTGATATTTCTCTGCTTATGTTCGGTGGCCTACCATCCCCACCCTGAGACAAAATGGAATACAGAGACTTAAAGCCGAATGCCTACCCAAGATGAAAATGGCTGGTGTCTATCCAGAACCTTTAGATAAACCCTCCATAAGTATGTCTGACTGGCAATCAACAACTATGACCCCCTTCAGCCTGCAGAAATCACCCTTTACTCCCTCACAGCAGTACACAGTACTTCTCACAGAGGGAAATGTTGCAGACAGCGAAGTTAGGTAGAAACATTATAGGCACTCAATCAGGGCTGGGCCCTAGAAAAGCCCTTGCTGGAGACCAAAAGCCTTATAACTATGGGGGAAAACAAACGCCTCCCACTGTGGGCCAGATCCATATCTCAGGTTCAAAGACAAACATACAAACACATCAGGGATTGATATTCTAAATAAGTAGATATGGTCACCTTGAGGAAGCCAGAAGGAGCCACTAACCCAGCCCCCTACAAAGAGGTGAAGGCCCTGTTCCATGTTCATGCCCATTTGCTAACATCACTTGCTACCCATTTGCTCTCATTTGAATCAGCTTTGCTGGAGAAATTAAATTCATAATCTTATTGGTTGACCATAGATCTGTCCCACCTCATGCCAACTTGCCTGGCCAGTTCCCATTTTTCACCACTTTGAATCTGTCTCAGCTCAGGGTTTTGCTGTGTAAAAAGCCCTTGAAAAGGCAGAGTCTTTGGCACTGCACTTGGGACCCCTTCTCTTTTGGACAGAAGTTTTCTTTATCTCAGTAAATATATTCTGCTCTTTTTGAAAAAGAATAAAATGTCAATGGAGTGTAAATCTAGCTTTGGATGGAATTCCAACACTGAAAATTTCTCTAATTGCGATAGTGGGAAAGGTGAGAATGCTATTATCTCATGTTATTTGAATCAATTTTAGACTATTTCATTCCAAATCACTCACTTTCAAATAAATTAAACTTAAAGAAAGCAGAAATAAATGAAATAATATGCATTAGTGTGGATATAAGTGAAATTTAAAATAGAAAAGCAATAAAATCCATGAAAATGAGACTACTGTTTAACTGGCATATAAAAAGGCCTCAAATTATTAAAATCAGAGATGTAAAGTAACATCACGATCAATCTTTATGAAAAGGATCATCAGAGAATAATAGGAGCAACTCTCTGTCGAAAATCAGAAACCAAGTTGAAGGACATATTTCTAGAGAAACTACCAACCCACTCAAAAAATGATTTTAATAAATTTGTAGTAAGTAAAGAGGCTCAATTAGTAATTTTAAAGCACAAGTAAAGCCATGAACCATATTTCTGGAGTAAAGTATGCTAAATTTTAGGAAAAATTGCTGCTACTTCTTCATAAACATCTTTCAAAACATAGGAAACAAACAGAAGTCTTTTGAAACCCATTCTTCAAGGTCAACAGCACTTTTATGAAAGATATAGGAAGTGAAAACTGTGGACCAGTATCCTTATGTACATAGATGCGACAATCCTCAGGACTAGAAAAACATCAGCAAACAGGAAAAAGATTAAACACTGTGACAGAGTGAAATTGATTCCAGTGATGCATTGTTTTTTTTAACATTCAAACACAGTATAATACACTATGTTACCTAAATAAATTACCTACAGGAGTCAGACCACAGGAAAATAAAATACCTAAAGAAATGATGATCACTCATCTAACACAATTAAAACATTTGACAATTCCAGTGCCTTTTTATGTCTTTCAACAAAACAGAAACGAAGCAGCTTCTTCCATCTGATAAAGGACAAGTATGAAAACCATAGAAAGATTATAGTAAACTATTGGAAAATCATGGCTCATTCTTTCTATATCTCAGACAAATTCACTTTACATAAAAATGAGAGTAAAATTTAAGCATGGGGGGAATACGGTGTTTGTATGCATTTTTACTGTGAAGTGTGTCGGAGAGGTAATTTAATTCAGTCTCCCAGAGATATACAGTCTCCATCAGCAGCATTTTTATGGAAGACAAGCACTGTCAGTCATCTGCAAGATGTCCTAAAACTACAGAGTTTCTCAGTATTGAATCAAAAGCCAGCAAACACCCTTGATTCTTTTTTTTTTCTAGATAGCATTTCAATGAAAATCTGTTCAGTTATTCACACATGTGCTCATCAAAATATTATGAAAAACTAAGACACATAAAATAAGAATTTACACTGAGCATGTCTTCATGCTGAAATGAGAGATTTGGTGAGATATTCCCGGTGCAGGTAAAGATTGATGCCAGAAATGCATGTAGACACACACACGAAATGTAAACAACTAAAGGTGCATTAGCTTACGCTACCTTCATGAAACTCTTCCAACTCCAGATCTAATTTATTGGTATTTGAAATCTCTGACATATGCCTCATGAATTGGGGCTCATTGCTTCTCTAAAAAACTAAGTATGAATAATATAATCCAAGAGAAGCAAAATTTGTTTGAAGAATATGGGGTAGCCCACTGAATTAATCAAAGATTAAAATGAAATATTATGTTGAATTTTTAGCTTTCATTAAAAACGTTAGAGACCTTAAAAAAAGAAACATGTATCCAAAAGCATGCATGATGTTCTAAGTGTGCTTTAAGATCATTGCTGTGGCTTGTATCTAGATGTGCACAAAGCCTCATGTGGTCAGAGGCGGGGTTTTTGGATGTGAGTGGATCTAGGGTGTGTGATGCAGAGATTAAGGAAGGCCTACTCTGACTGTGAGTGCTGCCCATCCTAAGGTCAGGTACCCTGGAAGGAACATAAAAGACAGAAGAGAGCTGTTGCCTCTGCTTGCTGCTTTGCAACTCCACTGCCTTCTGTCTTGCTGTGCCATGAACTGTACTCTCTGATGCCTCTTTGCCATGTCACCCTGCCTTGAAGCCAGGCAACTACGAACTGAAACCTCTACAAAGTGTGAAGCAAACGAACCATTCCTCCTTTATCTTTGGGTGTTGGATATTTTGTCTCAGCAATGAGAAAAGTAAGATAGTTATCAAAAAAATTTTAAGCATTCATTTAAAGATACATAAATTCATCTCATCTATCTGATCTCTCAGCTACCATGACAAGAAGGCATCAGTATAACAAGTTAGCATCACTCTGTGTTTAAACCCTTCTCTTAAACCATAATAATGACCTCAATTTCCTCTGTCCTAGGGATATGGCAAACATTCCACCTCCATCACAGAGTTCATCCTCCTGGGATTCCCTCCTAACTCAAGCATGCGGATGCTCCCCTTTGGCCTCTTCCCCCTGGTTTATGTGTTCACCCTGCTGGGGAATGGGCTCATCCTGGGGATCATCTGCCTGGAAAGCAGACTGTGCACCCCCATGTACTTCTTCCTGTCCCACCTGGCCACCGTGGACATGGCCTATGCCTGCAACACGGTGCCCCAGATGCTGGTGAACCAGCTGAGCCCAGCCACGTCCATCTCTTTTGCAGGCTGCATGACTCAGACCTTCCTCTTTTTGACTTTGGCTATCTCAGAATGTCTGCTTCTGGTAGTGATGGCTTATGACTGCTATGTGGCCATCTGCCACCTCCTCCAATACTGTGCCATCATGAGCTGGAGGGTCTGCATCACCCTGTCAGTGACATCCTGGACCACGGGATTTCTTCTGTCCTTCATTCACCTAGTGTTACTTCTACCTTTACCCTTTTGTATGTCCAAGAAAATCAAACACTTTTTCTGTTAAATCATGGCTGTGCTTAAACTTGCCTGTGCAGATACATTAATGAGAACATGGTCTTGTCAGGGGCAGTGTCTATGTTGGTGGGGCCATTCTCCATGATTATAGTCTCATACATGCGCATCCTGCATGCCATCCTGTAGATCCAATCAAGAGAAGAGAAACGAAAAGCGTTCTCCACCTGCTCTTCCCATCTCTGTGTGGTTGGACACTTCTATGGAACAGCCATGATCATTTATTTTGTGCCCGGATATGGCAACCCCAAGGAGCAAAAGATGTATCTCCTGCTCTTTCATACCCTTTTCAATCCCATGCTTAACCCTCTGATCTATAGTCTTAGGAACTCAGAAGTGAAGAATACTCTAAAGAGAGTGTTGGAGTAGAGAGACTCCAATACTGAATTGTAGGGTCAGTGGTAGGATCAATTGTAGTGACCAAAAAAGTTATCATTTTTAAGAGACTCCTGACCATTCACAGAATCAGGGTTGCTTCAGACATTTATTTATAATGGAACCGTCTTCTGTTCTACTGTGAGATGACTGAGTCAGCAGAAATGAAGTACTACTTACATCTTCAATATAATCATAGTGCAACCATCCAGTAATGAGCCCAGGATTTGGAAGCCATAGTTCCCAAATGATGTCATTTATAATATCTTCATTAATCTATCATCCAGATATCTATCTCCAAAAAATATTTTCCTGTAGATTTTCCTGTAGACACTAATTTCTACTGAGGCCTTTACAAACATGAAGCAGAATAAGTTTGCAAATGACTGCACATAAGCTGTCTCATCTTAAACCTCAGGATTTGTATTAACAGTGAAAGCTATACAAATTGTTTCAGTAAAAAGCACTCATAGTCCAGTTCTTAGTCACTGTTTCTCAAAGTTATCTGATAATGGGATATTTTTTCATATACTTAATAGATTTCCTGAAACAGACTTTGCTTTTATTTGACTCCTTGTGAATATACTCTGAAACTACTCCCTAAGGCAAGTGACTATTTTTTGTAAAAGAAGCCGAAACACTGAATGTAGGTCTAAGCACAATAAACAAGATAAGCTTGTAAGGGACTGTTCTCTGTTTAGTTATAGAAAGAGAGGGTTCTTGTGTCTACCCGCCAAGATTGTATCCGTTAAAGATAATGAATCCAAACATCTCCTTCACATTGGGCTAGTGTGTGGTCCTCAGGAAGACCATGTTCAATTTCACAATCTTTCAATTTTGACACTTAAGAAATATATATTAGCACCTAGCATGGGGATGAATGTTATTTACCTAGCAGGAATGAAGCCTGGGTTCAATTCCCTGCAACATGCATGCACACACACACACACACACACACACACACACACACACAAGCACAAGTGATCCTGTATTTTTTCTCATGTTTACCAACTACATAAAATTAACATTTTTCACTTCAGAGCATTAAAATAAAACCAGCCTAATAAATAAACCTGGAAATACTTCAAAATTCACTACTAACACGGTAAACCGCAGATAATGTGTACTTTTGAAATAATGAAGATTCCTCTGTTATGATCTCTAATATAGATGGTCTTGATTCACTAAATTAAAAAAAAGAACCAAACGTACAGTAAATCAGGAGGTACGGTCCACCGAGGTGCTATTTTTAGGAAATATAATTAACATGAGAAAGAGTACATGGACTGAAAATCACATATGAGAAAACATGCTCTATATTATGAAGAAACTAGAGAGTAATAGCGGCAACTAGACCAGTATTTGTGGATATGTTGTAAAGACAGGATTTAATAGGTAAAAGCATACAATTAGAGATCAAGTCCAGGAGAGAGAAAGATTGGAACCACTTATGTAAATAGCAAGTTGCCACCAAACACCAATTTAAACCATGGGTCTTGATCAGACTCCAAAACACACAGTGTACTCTGGGGAAGTGAAAGGAAAAGGAGAGTCTTTAAAAAGATGGCAGAAGATAGTGTTAATAGTGTATCAGGATTTAAAACCCACATTACTCGCACCACTCTGATTAGAAAGATTTTATTTTGTCCCAGTTTGCCTACTTGCATTAGATTTGAGGGCACAGACAGCTATCCAAAAACATCAGGATATAGCACAGTAATCATCTTTAATTTCCTATTAACTTAATCTGCAGCCCTGTATGACTTATACTGTTTTATCATGACTGACCTTAGTTAAATCTGGTTTGTTTGATTGCTATTTGGTATCGATAGATTTTATTCAAAACTGATGTGATTGATAGTATCAAATCTGAGAGTATAGTCAACTACACGGAAGATGACAAGACTCTACGATACACATTCTGGTTTGCTTACTGCATGTTTTTGTAGTTTTACACTATCTACAAAGTTATGTTTTTATTCATACTGGTATGTACTGATATATTCAATTATACTATGTCTGAGGATACAGCCAGTTCTTTTGAAGATAACAAGAGACAAAACAGCAACTATGGTAGAACATCTTGTACGATGGACTTATATATCTTTTTCACTTCATGTATTTATAGAAATATGTTTTGTATTGTCTTGCTTTGTTTTGTTTCTCCCTCTAATATAGAAAGGATAAAAATACATCAAGACTCATGCAAGTGTAGAACCTAAAACAGTTTATGAGAACTGATCTTATGACACACGATGAAATGAGCAAATACTTTGAAGAAAAAGAGACACTAAAGTTCCCAGTGCTGATCTTGGAGTGTCATAATGTGACACCCAGCAATAATTTTATTCTTTGTTGAGAGTAATATTAGCCTGCTTGGGTTTGTTCAATCTCAACATAATTGAAGGTGTGGATAACTGCATGTATGTTTAAGTGTATATGATTGATAACCATATTTCTAAGTTTTTGTTGGATAGTGGAACAGAACTTGTTGCTGTCTCACTGTTTAAGTCCCCAGTTTATATGCTCCATTTTAGTATCTTGAAAAACAATTTGTAAGAGGACAATCTGTAAACATCAACTAGGTATTTCTTACTATTTATTTTTTTCTTTGAAAGTATGTATTATTTCTACCTGTTTTCTGTTTTGTTTAGTCTTTCTTTAAGTAAAATTTTTTAAAAAGACACTACAGGGCCCAGTGTTGATCTTGAAGTGTAATGATGTGAAATCCAGCAATACTATTATTCTTTGTTCAGAATGATTTTAGCCTGCTTTAGTTTGTTTAATCTCAACACAAATGAAGATATGGATAACTTCATGTATGTTTAAGTGTACAGGATTGATAACCATATTACTAATTTTTTGTTGGATAGTTGAATAGAACTGTTTGCAGTCTTGCTGTTTGAATTCTCACTTTATGTGTTCCACTATTGTATCTTTTTTTTTATTTGTTTGTTTTTTTCCTTGTTATCGGTACTGGGGATCAAACTCACGACTCCCTGCTTGCAAGGCAGGCACTTATGCCACTGAGCTAAATCCCCAGCCCCCCCCACTATTGTATCTTGAACAACTATTTGCAAGAGGACAGTATGTAAACGTCAACTAGTGATTTCTTACTGTATATTTTTTCTTTGAATGTATGTATTATTCTTACCACACACCAAAAAAAGAGAGAAAGAAATCTGTTTCAAAACTGGTTCTTGAGACTGGCAAAAACTGAGTAAGTCTCCTTCATCTTTCTCCTTCTGCATTCACCATGTACCCGCTACCTCCAAGGCAGTACTCCTTGTAACGCCATGTACAGACAACTTCCCCATTTAGTCTCTCATAGTCAAGATGATAAGTTGACTGCTGTCCTCATTAGGAAAGTTGTTAAGTCCTGACAGGCTCTCCAGTCCCTTCTGCACTCAATCCAGCACTTGTTCAGGGGCTATTAGACCATTTCCAAAAGGCCTGGTGACCCGCCTTGTAGGCCAACCTGGTGACAAAATCTATATCAACAAAAAGTTTCCTATCCCACAGCCAACACAGTTTCCAGAAAGAGTCATTGGATTCATCACTCCCACTTCAGCCCATAAGACCAGAAACTCCAGCTGAGTCAACTAAGTCTTCTGCTCTTTGAAAAGTAAAACTCCAAAGATGCAGGCCCTAAGTCTTTTAATATGTATAGGTAATAAGTGGGTTACTGCTGGGACCAATAATCAAACCCACATGGCAAAAATATCATACCTTAATTCTGATTCTTTATGCTGGAGAGGAAAGGAAATAAGTTCCTCACTTTGGGAAACATTCAGGGCACTGGACTTTGTATTCGGTCTGTAAATTTCCCCTTGAAGCACTCCCATTTCAAATCAATTGTAATTCCATTGTATATGTACAAAACGTCTCTTACCCCCCTCAACCAACATTTAATCTCCCCACCAAGAACTTGGGCTGCCTGTACAAATGTCCTCAACCCTTGAGGTCATCTGGCTGTTTTTACTGAACCTAAACCTGGACTCTATATCTTAACTCATGTTCTTCCCCCAGTGTACTGGTATTGTGGAGAAGGAGGGTAGGAAACATATGGTGTTAATCCTGTTTTTAGACCAATCATTGAGGAGTTATCAAGGGCAGTATTGGTCAGGTCTGAAAGCACCTAGCTGATAGGGAAAATGAGAGACATCTTCAACAGTGTTGGTATAGGAATTTATTCTCCACCACCCCATGACTGACGGCCCTACTCAGCTCTGGAAACACCCCTCGTTTTCTTCCAATTGGCTATTATTAATGTCACCTGCACGATAGACTATTTAAGGCATTATAGCCAAAGCCAAGTCCAATCTACTAAATTAATAATGATACATTACAAATGTGAAGATTTATGAAATGTAGATGAGAAAGATGAGTTGTAAAAATGTGATCAGGAATCAAGGATTTGATTGATAAACTAGAACCAGGAGTGAATGTTGTAGCTTGGCATAACTAATGCCATCTTGTGCCCTGTATTTGACCAAGAAGAGTGGAAAATTCCTCAGGGTAAAAATCCCATGTGAAAAACAGAATGAGTTGTACCCACAAGAGAAAAATGAACCTGCTCAGCAAAGAAACAGGGAACAGGGGTCATTCAAAAAAGTAACATAGTATTCTAGCTGAATTGCTTCCATCAGGATGTCTTTTTGTGGTTTTCAGTTTTTAAAAATTTGTCACTTTCCAGTTCAATGCCACAGTTTTGGACTGTGAAAAAGGGGCCCATGGGTGATTGCTGAGCTCAGCTATATAAAATCCCAAATTAACAAATAAGGCTGCTTGGATTCCTTATTGCTCATGAATTCA